GGCCCGGCGTCCCTGTGCAGCCTCCGCCGCCGATGGGGGAGGTGGAGCCGGGCCCCGGGGGCCCGCTGGAGCCCCGGGAGCCTCCCGAAGCGTCCGCGAGCCGCCGGCCGGGAGGGATCCGGGTCCTGAAGGTGAGGCCGGCGATCGGGCGGTCTGGGGTGGGAGTGAGGGAAGGAAGAGGCCGCCCCCGCCCCGCGCGATGGCCAAGGGGGCCGGCCACCCCCGCCCGCGTCCGTCAGTCAATCAGCACGGCTTCTCGGCCGCCCCCGGCCCGGCTTGGGGGCACCACGGCCCCCGCCGAGGCCTGCGCGCCGCGCCCCCAACCGAGGCCTCAGCTCCTCTGGCCCGGCGCTGCCCATCGCTGGCCGCGCGCCATCCGCCTCGCAGGCCCCCGCCTCTCGGGCCCACGCCTTCGGTCGGTGTCCGTCCGTCCGCCGCCGCCCACCCGGCCCCTGCGGACCCTCAGGCTCTCCAGGGCCGCCCTCTTTCGCGCTGGGGGCCGGGCTCCACGGCTCCGAGGGCCGCCTCACTCCCGGCCCGAGAGCGGGGCTGGAAGTACGCAGGGCTTTCTCCCCGGACACCTGAAGACATCACCCCAGCGGGGGATGGCGGCGGCGATTGGCCGCGCGCCGCGGTGTGCGCGGGGAGAGACTGCCCTCGGGGCTCGGGAGCGAAGTTACCACCCGGCCGCTCGGGAGGCGCCGGCGGGAGGGACGACCCGGCCGGTCGGGGGGGGGGGGGAAAAGCCCGCGGAGGCGCCTCCTGATGGGGAATCGCCGAGCGTAGTGCGGAGAGGAGGAGGGGCCGGCCTGGAAGGGGCATTCCTGCGTGCAGGAGCGGGGCTCACAGCCGGGGACCGGGATGGGGGAGCAGTTATGCAACAGGCAGCAAGCGGGGCTTTTTGGCAGGAATTGGGGGAGTAGGAGGAAATGAAAGCAGATGCAGGCAAGTGGAGCCTAGGAGGTGATGACAAGAAGTTTAAATGCATATGGAACGTAGGGTGAGGAGGGGGCAGTGAAGATGGCTCCAGGGAGGAGGCTATCTTCTGGGTGGAGTTTGCCACTAGCCTTTGAAGTAGTTGAAGAGAACTATTCTTTCGTAGGTCACAACTAGATGTCCTTTCGAAAGATTCCGCTCTAGAGTTCTAGAAGAGGAGTTGATAGCATTTGAAACTTCCCAGGGAGAAGAAAATGTACAAGATATGCTGTATCAAAAAAACCTTGCAGAGCCATTAAAATACAGGCTGTTAAAAATACATTAAGAGTTGTGAATTGCGAGAGTGGGGAGTATGCACTTGCTATGAAGGTTGTTGGTAAACCAACACAAGATAGGAGCCCTGATAGTATAGTGCATAACGGATTGGGCTATTGATGGAAGGGTTGACAGTTTGAATACCCCTGCAGCTCCGTTAGACAAAGATGGACCGTGGTTTCCTCACAAAGATCCTTAGCCTCAGAAACCAGATGGAGGGTCGCAGTGGATCAGAATCGGCTTGATGCCAGTAGGTGGTGGTGGTTTTGTTATTATCAAGATGGGAACAGGTAATACACATAAAATAAGGATTAGAAGGATCCAGTGACATTTCTGAAGCTACAGAAACTAGAATTCTGTAAAATATGAAAAAGAAATTGTGCCATTACATCCCAGTCCTAATGCAGGGACTTAAAAACGATAAACTTTCACAGTTTTAAATTTCTGATTTTGTGTAGTTATTGTAATTTAACCTTATATGTATTATAACTTATTTAGCCATAGCTTGCAAACATAATTACCTGAAGGCTTTTGGGTTTTTATTTTAAAGTGTAGGCACAAATATGTAAATTTCAGGGTTATCAGTAAAGGGCAGGTCTGAGAGATAAGGCAGTGTCTTCTGGCCTAGAAGGTAAACAACTTAGGTGGGTGTTTTTTTCCCCCTTTAAATTTATTAACTTTTCTTGGGAAGTGGATAATGGAGTAAGTTGTGACAGTGAATGAACCAAGAAGGAGCTTTATTGAAAAACAGTCTAACACTGGCTCCTTGATTTGAATCAAGGAACTAGTAATAGAATTCTAGAAATTGATCTTAATTACAGTGCTGAAATGGTGATATGGAAGACTGATTCAAAAACCTTGGCATCCCTTGTTTTATTGCATATAGTCAACAGTTTAAGTAATCCTTGTAATAAATGGGATGGGTTATGAAGCTCCAGTTAAATAGTGGATAACCCATCAGATTCCTAACCAAAAGGATGACAGTTTGAATCTACTTGCTGCTCCATGGGCGCAAAATCCTATAAAAAGTTACATACTCAGAAATCCAATGCAGAGTCACCAAGAGTTGGAATCAGCTCACACAGTGGCCATGTGTTGTGTGTGGTATTTTTGGTTGGTTTTTTGTTTTTTGTTTTTAATGGAGAGTGTTGTGTGTTCTGTAAAAAAGGTCCCTGAATTTCTAGTAAAACTGGAAAAGATTATTTAAGTAGAAGACCTTTTGATTAGGAAGAAAACCCTAATTTCCCCCCATGTTCTCTGAAGACTCTTTGAAAAAGAATTTTCATTCTGTTTGCAACTTGTTTGGTTTTGTTTTTTTTTACATTTAATGAAACAAAAGAAAAAGAAATCAGAAGTATTGCAGTTAAGTAGATTCTGACTGACGGTGACCCCTCACTGTGTTTATGAAGCTGTAAATCTATATGGGGGTTTACTGCTTCATCCCATACTTTTGCTCCCCATTTCTTCCAGCAGTTGGTTGATGCATACTGTGCACTTTTGGTTTGACAGCTCAACATATAATGCCCAACACTAATAAAATATGAATATCATTGTTGTAAAATAATACATGTAGAGCTTCATAAAAAGGGTAACCTAAGTAAGGCTGGACTATACATAGGTCTATCTATTTGGGATGTAGGAAAATTTGATTAAAAATTTGCCCCCAGATTTCATTTAGACAATTGCTGTGTAGGATGTCTTCCTTAGTTATTAGTTACAGTTGGAATATAAGTATTGTATGCTTAGAAATACCTTTGAATTTTTAAATACTGTAGATACTTTCTACAATTTTAGCATTATGTCTTAATCTATTTTACTCATTCTGTAGACACTGTGAAGTTACAACTCATTAGTAAGTACCTTGAGATTAGTTTTATGGTGTGTTTTTTTGTGTGTGTGAATTGAAGGCTTTTATTCAGGTAAAAAAACTGTGAAATCTCTAATGTGTTGGGATGGGAGTTCTTCCAGGTTTTTCTGGTAGGTATACAATAAAAATAATGTGTGTACATGATGGGTTTTTTTAAAAGAAAATCAATACCCAAAGGATTTTGATGTACTGAAAAATTGTTCTCTCCCTGCTCTTATTTATTTATTTTTATTGTATTATTTTTACGTGTACCGTCAAATCAGATCTGACTGGTACAGGAGGAGATTGCCCCCCCCCTTCTCCAGCAGAGCATCTGGTGGATTTGAACCATGTACCTCTGGGATTGTCTCCCTACTCTTTAACACATACATTCCCGGAAATGAGCCCATCTTAGCAAGTTTTGAGTAAAAAAACCTTATCTCCTGAGTCACATTCTAATAAAGCTCACTTAGTATGGAGAGTTCTTATATGTCTGACTTTTTTACTGTGTCTAAAAGGAGCTGTGGTGGCACCATTGTTAAAGTGGATAACCAAAAGATCAGTGTCTTGAAGCCACCAGCTGTTCCGACGGAGAAAGATGTGTCAGTGTCCATAAAGATCTGTAGCCTTGGAAACCTTGCTGGGCTGTTCTCTGACCTGTGGGTTCCTCAGACTTTGAAATGACTCGGTGGCAGTGGGTTGGGTTTTTTGGTACAATAATAATTAATTGTATATGGGTGTGTAATAGTTTGTCACCTTTGAACAGATCACAGCCCTCGTATATTATCTTTGTTTTTTGAGAGGTAAAAGTATAAAATGGAAAGTGAATGGAGCAGGACTTTCTTGGGAAAAGGAAACCAAATCCACTGCCGTTGAGTCAGTTCTGACTTGTGTAACCTCATGTTTTAAAGACTAGAACTGTTGCTAGGGTCTTCCTGGCTGTCCTCCTCACAGTCACCAGGGTGCCACTGAATGTAGAAGTATCAGCATTTGGGTAGTTGAGTGGAAGGAACTACCCTGAACCTTGAAAGGAAGGCAGCACTAGGCAATTCAGCAGTGGTCAGCAATACTACATCTTGGTGATTGCTAGAAGACGTTGCTTTTGTCCAGGTCTTTTAAGTACTCTTGGAACTTATATTTGAGAGTGTTTATTACAGTGCTAATTCAACTGTTTATCTTAATATTATTATATATAGAGAGAACTGACTCATAGCTGACCCTATAGCTGGTTTTCAGAGACAGTAAATTGCATGGGAAGAAACTGACCATCTTTTTTCTTGTGGAACAAGCTGGTGGATTTGGACTGGGTACAACTTTGGGTTGGCAGCACAGTTCCTTACCAATTGACTAGGGATACATTCTTTATGGTAAACCAACAACACAGTAATATTAACAGTGTATATAAAGTTTCCTTAAGGGATTTATAGTCTCAAGGAAAATCAAGTCCATTATGCATTTTTAAAAAAAGAAAAACTGAAATTTTATCACAAGAAAAATCACGTATGAATTAACCTAATACTTCCTGAGTTCGTTCTTACCTTTTTTTTTTCCCCCGTTCTTGCCTTTTTTAAAAAAAACAAAACAAAACTGGAACGGTCTATAAGCCATTAAAGAACTTTCAAAGGTACTAGTGAGTGGCTAGGTTTGGTCTTTGTTGTCCCTACACAGTGGGCATAATTGCTTTCCCCTGAATGCAGAATACACAGTTTTATAGAAATGCTTTTGTACAATAGAGACTACTATTTTCACGTGGATCTTTCCCAAAGATGAAAAAAATAAAGAATATATAAAATTAACCAGTGATTTAAAAAAAAAAAAATCAGTGGTACGAATTGATGGTTTCAGTATTTGTAAAATAAGTCCTAGAAAGCACTTTTTAATTCTGAGACATTTGTCTTTGAGAATCTGCCCTTGGTGAGGCGGGAGAGACCTAGTTCCCACTTGTGGTAGGGATTTATCCTACTTATCTAAAGTTAGAATCAGAAATAATCCTCAAGGTTTTGAATAGCTAGGCCCAAATCACTAACATCTGAAAGATGATCAATTTTCCTGTGGTATCCAAGTGAATAAACAGCCGCAGCAGGGGCTTAGGCATACCAAGAAGGTGGCCCAGAACTGGGCAGCATTTCATTCTGTTACGTCTGAGGTTGTCAGGACTGAGAACCAATTTGATGACAACTAACAACATCATCTTAAATCTAAATAATGAAGCCATTCTCATCTGTGTTTCTTCTCTCTGCCCACATGGGGGGGTACTTCATAATGTTAAATATTTTTCCTTTAATATCAACTTTAGGAAAATACTACTTGTTTGGTTTTGAAGTATTTTATAATGAATGATAAAGTTGGGAGTTTTTAAAAACTTCTTCTCACTTACTAGTATATAAAGATTTTCTATTTCCAGAGATGTAGATACCCTCCTTCCCGGTATATGTTTAACTTTTTGCCAGAAGCAGTTAGGGAGCACTTGTGACTTGTCTGTAGGGAGTTGGGCAGCTAACCCAAAGGTGGCCCTACAGGGGTAGTTTAAGAGAGGATTGACAGTCCCTCCTGTGAGTCACAGCTTTTGAAAACCCACTGGAGGGTCAGCTATCAGTTGCTCCCCGCTCAACAATAATGAGTGAGAATTGGGCTAATTGAGAATAAAATTCTGTGATGTCAGCAGAGCTGTGCAAACATTTGATTGACTGTAAATCCCTTAAGGAAACTTTTTCAGTATTACTGTGTTGTTGGTTTACCATAAAGAATGTATCTCTAGTCTATTGGTAAGGAACTGTGCTGCCAACCCAAAGTTGCACCCAGTTCAAATCCACCAGCTTGTTCCACAAGAGAGAGGATGGTCAGTCTCTTCCTATGCAAGTAAGTAAGCCACTGCGAGAAGATTTCTGTGGAGGGAAGAGGAAGACATAGCAAATAATTAAAACATGCTATGAATTCTGAAAAATGAGTCACTGAGTACATTATGGAGCACAGTTGTGCCCTGGCACACATGGGGTTGCGTAGTTGAAGGGAGAATGGGGAGGGAAGCTGTGGCCGGCTTCACAGAGAAGGCAGTACCTGAGCAGACCACTGAGGGGCAACTTGTCAGAAGGCCAAGGGTGGGAAGGACGAGATAGACAGATCACAGAATTGTGGAACATTTGGTGTATTTGAGTAGTTTCAAGGACTCCAATATGACTGGAACACAGAGTGATAGGTAGTAGGGAATGAGGTTAGAGAAATGCATTGGTGTAATTGTTACTGGAAATTTTCATTTTTTGAAAGGGAGTAGAAATGACAGAGATGTGAGTTGGTCTTTAGAAACTTATTCTATTGTAGCAATTGTTTTTGGTTGGAGCTAACTTATTAATTTATGAATTTTGCCTACCCAATTTTGATGCCTTATCAACGATACTAATTTTAAGAAAAATATGATAGAGATGGAAAGAATGTTTGCTCAATATTGTATAATACCAGACTGACCTGGATTACCAGGAAAGGATCCAGGAGGTAGAGAAACTTGGATATTTGCATAAGGAAACACTAAAAAAAGTTTATAACATTGTTTCAAATATTGAAAAATTGTAATTAAAGTAATACAATTAATAAAATAGATAAATTGTGATGTGTTTATATATTGTTAAGTAGTTCCAATGAATGAGCTGAACTTGTTAACATAGGTATATTTCTAAACCAGTAAAAACCTTGCTGTGTTAAGATTTAGATAGTCTTAAATCCTATAAAATAATACTGTATAGTTCAAGATATCTCTACATATACATGATAAAAAAAAAAAATACATAGAATGATGAATACCAAATACAGTATTAGTCTTTGTTTCTGAAAAGAGAGGGAGGGCTTGAGATTGTGGTAGGATACCATATAGTGTACAGACTTCTTTAGAATAGTGATCCGAAGCAAATATGGTAAAATACTTGTGAAATCCAGGTGGTAGATAGACAGATGTTTTGTTATTCTTGACGGTTTTCTGGAAACAAGAAAAAAACCCAGGATGATAGGTATGGATGAAAACATGAAAGCACAAAGAAATGGTGCTTTATGAAATGATAAAAATTATCATAAAACAAAATTATGCTTTATGAAAACATAAATTATATTACCCTGGTTAAAATAGAGGTTGAGACTCAGAAGTCTATATGAGAGGGTGGAATTCTTAAGTAGAATATTGGTGAAAATAAAGTGGCAAAAGAAAAAAGTGGCAAGATGGAGTGAGGACTCAACATATATCAGTTAAACACTTCACTAATGATTCCTTTTTCTTAATATTTTTTAGAGAAATATGAAACGCAATGGGAGCAGAAATTGTTTAAATAGGAGGAGCAGGTTTGGTTCTCGAGAAAGAGATTGGCTGAGAGAAGATATGAAGAGAGGCTGTGTTTACCTTTATGGAGCAGACACGACCACTGCCACTACAACCACCAACTCCTCCTCCTCCTCCTCCTCTGACTTACATCTCGTCCTTTGCACAGTGGAGACACCAGCATCTGAAATATGTGCTGGGGAGGGAAAGGAAAGCCTTTATTTACAGCTTCACGGAGACTTGGTCAGGTAAGACCTGAGTTTTACCCCTCTTTCTCTGTTGCTAAGATGCTGTCTTTAAGATTTATAGCTTTGGAAACTCAATGTAGGGTTGCTGTGAATTGGAACTGATGGCACAGAGTTTATTCTTCCACAGTATCAGGAATGTGTGTGTGTGTGTGTGTGTGTGTGTGTACCGTCAAATCAGATCTGACTGGTACAGGAGGAGATTGTCCCTCCTTTTCCCGGCAGAGCATCTGGTGGATTCGAACCGTGTGCCTCTGGGATTGTAGTTGCAGCTCCTTGCAGTATCAGGAATTTAATTTGCATTTCTACTTGGAAGTGAATTTCAAGATTTTAATTGTCCTGGAACTGATGCTGATTGTGGAGTCTTGAAAAAGATTTATCCTAGGAACCTCAACCCACGATGACCCTCTGTAAAGATTGTAAACCTTTATAGAATCAGATTACTTTATCTTTCTCCTGAAGATCAACTGATGGATTTCAGCTGCCAGCCTTTCAGTCATCAGCACTGTGCTACAAGTTACTTGCTTTTATGTCCCATTGAGTCAGAACCGACTTATAGTGGATTTCGGAGGTAAATCACTCGGGAGGAGATTGCACATCATTCTCTTTGGCTGGTGGATTCAACCTGAGTGCCTTCAGATTGGCAGTGCAACTCCTTAACCACTGGCCTACATGTACAGAGCTAATATCAAATAAGAAATTTTTAAATATTCAGTTACTGTCTTTCCTTGCTCACCCTTCTCTGTAGTAAATGAATGTCCCTCTTGAAATAGAATCCAAAGCTGTGGCTACAATTCTCTTGAAAGTGAGGAAGCTCTCACTCACACCTGAAAATGTGGTAACAATAGTAGCACCTTTTTTGGTGCTAAAAATTGATGTCTTTTTAAAATCTAAACTGAAGTTTACTTTGTGTTTCTTTTGGGATTTGGACTAATTCTTTAAAAAGTAGATTAGTGCTTTAATGTTTTCCTTGTTCACTAGTTAATGTGCTCAAACAAATACATTTCCTAAATCCATTTGTAAAACAAAAGGATCAGACTGGGTGATCCTAGGCTTTTCTAAATCTTAACACTGACTCTGATCTAATTTTATCAGGTGGAAAGCCTTGACCTAGATTAGAGCTGATAATAATTGATAGAGTTACTTATTTAAACATTTGTCTAGTACATTTGTTTATTCATACATACATAAACAAAGATACTAGAAATACAGAGAAAACCACATTTGGTTTGGTTTGCTATTGCTAGTTGTATCTTTTGTTAAGAAGCCAAATGGCATGTGTTTACTTCCATAGTTGAATCTAAACTATACTTAACATTGGAGAGTTTCTCTCTTTTGGCCCTCCGGACTTGGATAATTTATAATGAAATAGCTCTTAAGGATATATTTGATTAGAAAATAATGAAAACCGTTATAACTGTGGCTCAAAAGAATGAATATATTTTCATTGCTTGAATAGAATTTCAAGGGAAATTCTGTGTCATCCAGCCAAAGAATAATTATGATGATGGTGGTAGATTTTTTTCTGATGTTTACTGCTTATATTAGTCTTTGTACTTGCTGTTACTTGTTCCTGTTAAGTTGATTGCAACTCGTGGCAACCCAGCGTATGTCGAGTAGAACTGTTGATAGGGTCTTCAAGTCCTCTCTGAAGTGGATACCGCTTCCTTCACCTGAACCTGAGTGGGTCCAAAGCACTAACGAGCTTTTGGCTAGCAGTCTGTCACCATCCAGTGTTCTTAGTCCTTCATGTACATTTTCTCATTTAATCTTCACAGTAACAAAGAAGGTAGTATAATTTTGTCAGGTGAGGAAAATTGAGGCTTTGAGAGGTCCAGTAACCTTCTCAAGGTCAGACAGCTATTCTCAGGCAGATGATAGACTTCACTGTGAGTAAAGACCCTTCAGAAGAGGAGTTTGTGCAGCATCTATAACTCAGTTGCAGAGTTTAATCATACTTACTTAAAGTTTTCATATTTAGCTGTAAAGTGCTTGAGTTCCATCTTAATTAGAAGAGGAAATACTTTCTTTGTATTAGATATTCGTAGTTGAAGGGGTTATCTCTTTTGGTTTTTTCTCTGCTTACTGAGGTGTGATATATACTCATGTAGAAAATACAGAAAACTGTAGAGAGAAATAGTAATAGTCAGTATTCATGGTTTATGTAGATTACATCTTTTAATCTGCCACGGTGATCTTGTGAGGTAGTTACTAATTGTTCTCATTTGATAGATGAGGGAGGTGAGTTTTAAAAATGTTAAGTGTCTCACTTAATGTCACTCAGGTATTAATTGCTAGATCTGGAATTTGTACTGTGGCATTCTGACTTCAGATGCTAACATTAACCTACATCGTCATCTTGTAGTAAGATTCCCCCCCCAGATCCTTTCATAAATGAGATAAATGAGTGTGTACTATTGTATATGTGCATATGCATATTATGTATACATACTTTCTGTTCATGTTTTTGGTCTCATATATTGTTGTTAAGTGCTGTCGAGTCAAGTATGACTCATAGCGATCCTGTGAACTACAGATCTTGACCCTGTCCTATCCTGCGCCATCCTTATCATATAGTCACTTTTATATCTTGCCTATTCCTTAATATTTTCATCTGAATTTCCTTGTCATTTAAATTCTTTCTTGTTCCTAGGTGCTGTTGAGTCATCTCCTCACACATAGTAGGCCTGTATTGAGCAGAATGAAACCCCAGTCCTGAGCCATCTTTACAGTATGCTGGGCTTTTTAAAAAGCCCATTGTTGCGCTTACTGTGTCAGTCCATCTCCTTGAGGATCTTCCTCTCCTTCTCTGATTATCTACTTTTCAAAGCATGATAGCCTTTTTTAAGAGCTGGCCTCCCTCCCTAACATGCTTAAATTGTGTGAGACAGAGTCTCACCATCCTTGCTTGGAAGGCGCACTCTGACAGCACTTCTTCCAAAGCAGATTTATTTGTGCTTTGGCAGTCCATGCATGGCTTGTGTAATTTTCTTCACTAAGACCACAATTCAGATAGCATCAGTAATTTTTTTGATCTTCCTTATTCATTGTCACCTTTCACAGGCAAATACCATAGCTTCAGAAAATAACAAATGTTGATGAGGGTCTGTAAAGAACCGAGCATTCTTACACTGATGGAAGGAAGGTGATGTGCTATACTTTGGGTCACAGGAAAGCAAATCATCATTAAAATGATATCTGGCACCTCATAGGTGCTTAGTAAAAGGGTACCTTTTGAGTTTTTTCCAATCATTCAATGCTTTGAAATAGTGTGATGAGTAAACACTTGCCCATAAATTACTGTAAATAAACACATAAATCACTGTTTAGCTCTCTGGGACTGAAATTACCCATGCATATCATCCAGTATTCCCTTTTCCCTTTTTTCAACCTCTTGTGTATAGCTGAAAGATTACCTGTTTGTATAATTTTAGTACTTAAAAGGCATCCATTTACCCTTCATTTCCACTTAGATCTTTGGAGGCAGAGTTTTTCCTGGTTGTTAAAACAACTAGTGAGAGTTACCTGCATCTGGGGAAAGAACCAGAGAGGCTTAACAATCTTACACAACAAGGAATTGTCCTATCCCTAAACCAGCAATTTCCTGTTTAGAATCACTGAGACTGTTTCCCTTTACTTTGTAAGTGTAGAACAGAGATCCAGAGAGGCAGGCTCTGAAGCCTGTCTTTAAATGTGGTAGTAGGGCTATAGCTGGCACACAACTGTTTTGACTCCCAGTTCACAACCCTTGACATTATGATATTTGGCCTTTTTAATTGAACTGTTTAAGTGATAAATGATTCTTTAAAGTACTCTGGTGGCATAATCTGTAGGGAATTGTAACGCTTACCCAAAGGCTGTCCCTCTCCAATGGTTGAATCTTATCTACCAGGGGCTCTGCTAAAGAACGATGGCAGTCTCCCACATTGTGATATTCAGCCTCAGAAATCCAGTGGAAGGTCAGCTATGAATTCTTACTCAAAGGCAATGAGTTGAGTGACGTTGAGCGTAATTGTTGCTTTCCGCCTAAAATGTTCTCACAAGTTCAGTATGAAATAGATTGTTCTTTGGCTTATGATTGTGTAATAGTTTTTATTCTCAGTCATCAAAATGATGAAGATTTCTAAGTGCTTGATAGACCAAGTTGAGAAAGTAAAATAAAGCTTAAAATAAACTGAGAAGTAGAAGGATGAGTATACAGTGGGATTGGGAATTCTGAATTGTTGGGTGACCTTTGGTAAGCCACTAAGATTTTGTTTACTGTAAGTTGTTTTTCTTCTAATCCTCCCCCACTCCACATTTTATTACATATGAAATTAGTGTTTATCTCACCATGGCTGGTCACAGTTTAATGGTCTTATTGTTCATGGCTTAGGTCATAGTTTAGTTGGCACTGCTTTTTTCTTAATGGGGGGTGTGTGTGTACTGTATCTTTCAGGTGATGGTTTATAATGTATGTTACTATGTGCTGTTGAGTTGGAACTGACCCATGGCTGATCTCTAGCAGATTTTCAGAGGCTTTAAATTGCATAGGAGGAGATGCACATCTTTCTCCCTTGGAGCATTGATGGGTTCAAGCCAAGTGCGTTTGTGTTAGCCGCATAACTTCTTACCACTACGCCATCAGAGCTCTGTATAATGTATAGATATAATAAAATATGATCATTTAAAACATAGCTTTTAAAATTTCTTAGTGTAAGTTCTTTTAATTCTCTTTGCATAAGGATTTAACTATATAAAATAAACTTCTTCACCTCCTAAAGAAACGAGGCTTTAAAATCCAGCTCACAAAGGTTCAACTTTATCATTATATACTAATTGTGTGACTTTGAGTCTATTATCTAATCTTTCAAAACTTTGTTTTTCTTATTGGTAAAAATGGGATATTGTTGTATGTATACAGAGGCTGTAAATCGCACAAGAAGAGATTGGCCAACATTCACCTGTGGAGTAGCTAGTGAATTTGAACTGTATGCTTTTGAATTGGCAGCACAATTCCTTAC